TGTGTATATTTAATATATAGGCCTACATAATATATTATATATATATATATATATATATATATATAGACACTTGAAATTATCTCAACAAAGGCCTATATATATATGTGTGTGTGTGGGTCTTAGTTAATAAATTACTTCCATTTCAAACATCTTAAGTCTCATTAACTTAAACTGAAAATAACTGTATTAATTTGGACATCTTTTTGTTCTCGTATATATAACATACTATAATCATCAAGTTATTTTCCACTATGAACTGATTGTGACAACGTTACACACTGAATTCGTATGTTTACCAGTAGACACTTGAAATTATCTCAACAAACATAGTGATAGGCCCGATTAAATACTGGTTACTATAACCATGAGAAGCTTTACACTCTAAAATCAAGTTTAAAAGGTGAGGCGGAAAATGGTTAGACCATATACAGCTGGTCACGCAAAATTAATGATAATCCAGGAAACCCAACACACGTAGCATGTGTTATTATTATTGCTAGACTTTCTTTGGGAAGAAGATTCATCGAAACTTCGAAGCATCTATATCCTGTGGGTACTCTAGTAATATGTTCCATATTTTGAGCTTATGCAACAAACATGTAATACAATACTGAATTTGTTTTGAATTATGATTCCGATGTTTTGAAAGATACATAAGTGATTATTAGTTAATCTTATTCAAACACATTAAAGAAGGCCGACATAATAATTCTAATTTGCAAAATTATAATTTGCAAATATCTAATGGAGACAATAATTTTTTGAAGGAATTTAAAATACGTTGGCACAAAATTCACCTTTATGTTTTTTTTTACATTTTAGAAAAGGAAATTATATGAATTTTGAAGCGAAAATAAAACTACAGTAATGTACTTTCTGACAAAGCAGGAAGATTGAAACCCCAGACAAGGACGTACAGTGACAGTCCATCAATGATCCTCTCTTGTGATTCTGACTATCGCAATTTTCATACGGATTGGGAAACGTGGTTTTTAATGTGACGAGTTTAAAAAAAAGAGACATTTTGAAATGCTGTCAACCAGGTGCTAGCATAAGAAAAAAAAAAACTATATACTACGCAGTATCATGAAGGTCTTATGAATTTAATATGCAAATTATCGTTAATTATAATTGTGATGACTTTCAATATTCCGCAATGATATGGCTTACATGGAACAAATGATTTTTTGTAATTAATTAATTGAGTGTGATATTTTACAGCACGTGCATTTCTGATGGATCTCGAAATGGGTATCTCTTTTTGTTTTTACATTAAACTTGACCTCTATTATTAACCTACTGCTTAAAATAGTTATTGTCTAAACGGATTCAATTGCACTTTCTTTGTTCATGCATGGAGGAATACGTTTACAATTTTTACAATACAAAACAAAAATCTAAAATACAAAGTAGGCCTATATTTCAAAAGATGTCTTAGACGTCTGTAACAAAATTCAAAAGGGAACAGGTATGTCAGAAAAACGAACGTATGGTAATTATCAAGCACTATACCTATAATGTAGTCCTATTTATTAATTTACATTTATCAAGACTGGAATTGTCAACCTGCAGGATTTTTTTTTTTTTTTTTTTTTTTTTTTCGTGGCTCTTTTTTTTTTTTTTTTTTTTTATCGTGGCTCAAAGTCTTATTCAATGGTAGGTCCAGGCCTCACTTGATTAATAGAATTCAAATGAAATTTTCAAAGTACGCTCAGAACAAGTGGTTTATTTTGTCGTTTTCCAAAACATGCGAACACTAATTGTAATAGTATAGTGCTAAAATGCCACAAAATTATATTGAAAATAACTGCTTCCTTTCTTCCTTTGTGTATTTCAATAAGTTATTAAGTTATCCCACTACATGTATTTCTGATGGTAAAATATTTAATATTGAACTATAAATGGTTAATAAGGTGTTATCAAAATATTTAATTTAAGGCTGAAAAACATCATACAAATATTTCGGGTTCCTTTTTTCATTTTAATTTTTATGGTTGGGCGTTCCTTTAAAAACTTATCGCACCCTATTCGGCTTGTAAAATGGAATTATTGAAAGTACGATTAATGGTTAAGACATCAAGTTAACTAATTAAAGAGATATCCTCAATGTTGTCTGAGAACATAAGCCTATTCCCTCACAACTATCAACAATATAGATGTAATAATTGATTTCTCGTGAACGTTAAGTGCGATTAAAGCATGTCGCTTAAAAACCCATCAGAGCACAAAGTTTAGATATAAACTCATTGGGAAATGGACAGACTCGTACACTTCCATTGGAATATAATTGTAGTTATACAAATAGGTCTACATGGGAAATATAATTTGATGCCTACGTTCAATGAAGACTAATCATAATTACATTATTGGTCCTTGAAAAAAGTCCAAGATTATAACGTTCGGGACAGTAGAATATAAAGTCAATGTGTTAGATAAAGGCATGTATATACAATCCTACTAATAAAATTCTTGAGGAAATGCCAGTCGGTGTTCAAGACCTAGTTGTGTCGTTCGAACACCGGTATTAAGAGTGTAGTATAACTAAATACTGTAGATCTACGTATTCTATGAACTCACCAACACCACCCCCCTCCCCACACTCCCAAAACCCACGCAAAGAGCAAAGCTTTGCATGAAGACGTGGTATGCTATCAGCACAACAAATAACAAACAAGTGTACTAAAATCTCTCTCAATTAATTAACACAGGTTTTATTTACTTAACAAAAATTGGTGTCACTCACCAAAGCAATTTTTTCTATGGACGTCAATTCAGCATTGTTATAAAATCTCTACCATGTTATGTAGACTATATGCATGCGATAGTCTGATAAAAGTCTGTATTTTGTTGTAGGCCTTATAGAGTCGGATAGAATTGAACACACAGTAGGCCTAATTGTCTGCTGTTCGGAAACACGTAATCCTTATCCGTCCGCTGATCAACTGAACGCCAAGAATAGGAACTATACAAATAAGATCGTCCAGTGACGATGCTCTTATTCCTCAATACTCTAACCAGTTTTATACATCCATACTTTAACAGTCTTGGACATCTGTTTTATCAGAATATACATACAGTCTATTGAATTACTTCACAATTGGAATTAAATTAAGGCTGATCATGCATTAGCGAATGAGACTTAATATTATATGAATAATGTATTGCAATTCATATGAAATACAGTAAAAAGTATAAATTGAAGTCTAACATCATACATAGATACGACCATTAAATATCATTACACAACATCACTAAGCTCTTTAGAACCCAGAGAACTCGCTTAGCTGTGCAGGGAAATTGATGCAAAGATATTAATTACTTTTAATACTAGAAATTGTTAATTAATATCTTTAAACTTTTTAATTCTATATTTTAATTCACCATCCTTAAAAGATACCAGAATTAATGTAAAGTGTTTGTGTTACTAGTGTTGCATTTATGCAGAGGATATTCAGGAATAATGTGTCTACGGTTGTATGAAACTAGATTAGTTAGGAAGAGGGAGAAAGCCATAGTTGGTTTCATGGTAATAGTAATAATGGTTGACTTATTAAATATGGTGAGGTCTCACCACGAAATGAGACGCATCGATGGTGAAATCATATTGAGATATTCACCAAAACAGGCCGAAGTCAATATTTTTTACAAAATTTAGATTTTAATGTTTTTGAATAACTTTATACTTATATTTTATGATTGTATACTTTGTAAGTGAATTTTCTTGCCAAAACAGTGTTTTCTGCACATATTCTGTTATTCTAGTCATGTTATTTGTACAGGTTAGTTTATCTTTGAAGTCGATTTTCTCAAAAAGTGGTTCTTATACACCTAAACATTAAAATGCTCACATCTCTGGATTTACTTATAGTAGGGAAGCCATTCAAAGCGAAATACAGACAGCGAGGGATTGAACCTTCGACCTCAAGCTTGAAAAGCAGAACCACAACCACTGTGCCCAACCTGTTTTCAATTATTGAAAATAATTCCCTGCACAGTCGGGTACGTCTGTCCTTAAGCAATAATAATATTTAACATCTGAACTGCCTGATCATACAATGAAGAAGGATAACTCTGAAGGATCTTTCCTGAGCCTGTTCAAATAGCGTAATTTGATGTGTTAATTGGTCAGACTGGTCCCCCATACTGGTGCAGCATATTGTGACTGGCTTACGCAATTTGTCTTGCCTGGAATTAGCCCTCTTACACATAGATTCAAATTGGGCATATCATAATAATGACACCCAAAAGTTAGATTTGACTTGTTTAGAGCAAATCCGCATCTCAAATTGTTTTATGCCCATGCACAGGTTTTATCAGCAAGTGACTGAAGCCCACTAACTCTGTTGCTTGTCGATGCGCTCCTAGACGATGGTGTCATCAATGTACCCAAGTCAGAAGGTAATCGGCAAAAAAAACGAAAGGAATTTAATTTTTAATTTTGTCCAGGTGAAAACATTTCCGTTGAAACAGGAAGAGATAACCCACATCAGAAGGTGAGATTCATCTGCGTAGGCCTACTGCAAGGGCATCGATCCGTGTCTGAAAGTAGGGGGCACGAGATGTAAAATAAAGCCTTGGGCCGTAGGCCCAAGTAATGGTTGGAGACCAAGATTATGGCACCTCCAGTTAGTCGGAAATAGCACTCTCGGACTGAATTTGAATATAATTTTAATTTTTCTCCACTTTTAAATTTCGAAAAAAAAAAAGTGATGGTGGGCCGGCTGGGCCCCTTGAACCTGCCACTACAATACTCATCATAACAAGTTTTTAAAATTATCCTTTTTATTCATAATTATGCCCGCTTATATATTTCGTGCAAACTAACATTCATAAAAATAATGATTTATTATCAACTGATTAGCTTGTAACGTATTAAAAATTCGAACTATGAAAAACAATAAGATAAACTTAAAACAGTCATTAATTTAGTCTCTTTGCATGCACAGTACTTTTAATATCAACCAAGAGGTTTTTGCTTTTCTCCTCTTTTTGAATTTCACTTTTGTGTAAGTAATATTGCGATAAATTATTGTGAGTGGAAATAATACCGTCCAATTTACGATCAAACAGGACTAGGGAGATATGGAGCACACAAAACATTAATTAGCATTTTGATTTCACAAACATAAAGGTCATGATTTACTTAATTTATCATTATCAGTGGCGGCTCCAGGAAAGCAAATTAGAGGGGGGACAGGGAGGGACTTGCGCGTTGAAAAAATAGATCACCTCAGCCCCACCATGGTTGGGGCTGAGGAAAGAAATTTATGATTATGACACCTCTAGATTGCCGAAAATGGCACTCTAAGACCTAAATTCTAATTATAATTTAAAAAAAAAATAATTTTGAAAAAATTAGGGTCGGCTCGGCCCCACTTGAATCTGCCACTGATTATTATGGCGTCATTGCGAGACTGCGTCAACGTAACACTGGAGTTTGTAAACTTTTGGTAGGCTTATCACTTAATCGAAATAGGTAGACATATCCGTGTTAAAGGCTGAAATTAGAAAAAACAGTAATCCTATGTATGTAGATAATATAAAACACTAGTATATACGTACGGGTCATAATAATATACAAAAAGAATAAATCGTTTATAGTAGAAATTGTGCACTTTTCAGTTTGTAAATATTGGCCTAATAAGGATACATGCTTCCAATTTTAACAACGTTCAGTACATTGTTTTCACAATAAATTTAGCCTCTGATAGTCGTTGCACCCATAAAATCTATCTAGTGGGTTTCTGAGATGGTTACGAATTGTTTAAACAATTGCGTTTTTACTCGGTTTTAGTCCAGAAAATACGTATCGCACTTATAAAAGTGAACAGACCAAATTCATGAGTAATGCGTAATTGTTATTCTTTCCATTCGCTTTTAAAAGTGGGGTTTTAATTATAGAAGATTGGTGAAAAGTGGGGGGAAGGGAATTCCTGGATCCGCCACTGCATCACCTGTCTCTTATACACATCTAGATGTGTATAAGAGACAGGTCCCCAACCGATCGACGCCCATGGCCTACTGTAATTTCAATAAGGGTCTCATGATCTATAAGATCGTATATTTTACTAAAATCCTAACAACAGTGTAGCACTGATCTTACACCGCCAGCCTCTCTTCCTTCATACAACTTGGGGGCTCACACACATAGGCCTAATAGAGCTACGTAATAGCTTATAGGTAGCTGCTGGTAAATAATAGGAAGTAATATTCAAATCAAGTTGCTGCTTTGAACTGGAAACACAAATAATGTATAATCATTTAGTTAGTTAGTTCCATGGCCGGCGGAACCGGGGTCTGGGGGACCGCCCCCCCCCCCACTTTTTGGCAAAATATATATAATGTCTGGAGACTTTTGTATGATCGGAAATGCAAGAAAAGAAGGAGGAGAAGAATGGGAAAGAGAATGTTTATCCAGTACCGACCGAGTTACATTTTCTCGCAATTCATATTGGCGGATATGGGGGAGGGGGGCATGGGTCCTGACCCCTCCCTTAGGCAACAAAAAAAAGGGAAAAGAAAAAGAATTCTAGACCTACCTTTTCAGGACCCGTGAGCTGATTTTTTTTTTTTTTTTTTTTNNGGGTGGTGGTTTTTTTTTTTTTTTTTTTTTTTTTTTTTTTTGTTACAATAAGAAAATTAGAGTTTTTAACAACATAAAAGTCATTAAAACACACTTCAAATGTCGGGAAAGCCCATTTCCCGCCATCTAGGAATCAACATTTTCAAGGGGAGAACCCCCGGACCACCCTTTCTTTTTGGGATTTATCGATTCATGGCAAAAAGTATACACATGCAACTACTCATTTGTTTATGTATGTATACACACATAAAATAAAGAATGAGAAAAATTTACCTGACTGTTTACAAGAGGGGAATACCTTGAATTTTGAAGAACTTAAAATACATTAAAATACATTTTAGAAGTCAGGAAAGCTCATTTCCCGCCATCTAGAAATCGAAATTTTCCCGGGGAACACGGACCTTTTTCTTTGGAGTTCATTGATTAATTGAATCATTTTCAAGAGGGGGGTGGGGTGGCACCTTGAATTTTGAAGAAATTAAAAGTCATTAAAAGACACCTCAGAAGTCGGGAAAGCTCATTTCCCGCCACCTAGGAATCAAAATTTTCCCGTGGAAGAACCACAGGACCCCCCCCCCACCTTTCTTTTTTGGATTTATCGATTCATGGAAAAAATACGTATGCAACTTGCTCAAACTTTTTTTATGTTTGTATACACACATAAGGCCTATTTACTGTAACAACAATGGGAAAAAATTATCTGACCGTTTTCAAGAGTGGAAAACCTTTAATTTTAAAGAACTTAAATTAAAGTTATTAAAAGATACTTCAGAAGTCGGGAAAGCTCACCACTTAGAAATCAACATTTTCCCAGGAAGAACTCCAACCTCCCTTTCTTTTTGGGATTTATTTTGGTTCATTGATTCATTATAATAATTTTCAAGAGTTCAAGAAATTACAAGTATTAAAAGACACCTCAGAAGTCGGGAAAGCTCATTTCCCGCCTTCTAGGAATCAACATTTTCCTGGGGGAGAACCCCCGGACCCCACTTTCTTTTTGGGATTTATCGATTCAATGAAAAAATCGTATGCAACTACTCAATTTTTTGTGTAGGCCTATGTATACACACATACTTGTAAGGCCTATCTACTGTAGTATCAATGGGAAGAATTTACCTGACCGTTTTGAAGAGGGGAAAACCTTGAATTTTGAAGAACTTTTAAAGTCACTAAAAGATACTTCAGAAGTCGGGAAAGCTCATTTCCAACCATTTAGAAGTCAACATTTTCCCGGGAAGAACCTGAACATCCCTTTTCTCTTTGGGTTCACTGATTCATTATAATAATTTTCAAGAGGGGAAAACCTTGAATTTTG